TTTTTTTTTTATTCAGTGATTGAATAACACAGATTACATCAATAAATTTGTTTTTGCAGTGCACTGCATCAACCACTTTTTCTCATCGAGTATAAAGGAAGGAATAAAAAATACATTAATAAAAACCCAAGTTCCTCTTGATAGTATATCAAATATGGAAGAAACTTGGAATATGTCACAGGATGGAAAAGGGCTTGAAAGTGCTAAAGTAGATGATACCGAAGTTATTACTGATACACAGGAATTTCTGAATTCACATGAAGGAACTGATATTGAACATAATAAGAAATATGCAGACCATGATGTTGCTACAGATAAATATAATGAGACAAACAAAAATGACATTTTTATTACCCATGAAGACATCAACCGAGAAACAGCAGAAGAGTCAGTAGTGACTACAAAAACTTCTGGAGGTAGAGAAGATGTGGATATTATCGATATGGTGAAGAAGAACAGTAAAGATGAAGAAACCAGCCAGTCATATGACACTGGCAACATACAGACAGTTATGGTAAAACTTGATGGTGAGAAAATTGATGACTTAAGTCAGAAAACTGTTCATATGTCAGTCAGCATTGAGAGCATCAAAAAGAAAATTGAAGAACAGAAGAAGCACAATACAAACAGAAATAAACATCAAGTGTCAGTTAAGTTTCGTGCTGAAATTGATCCAGCAAAGAATCAGTCTGCAGAACTTGAACTGCGTAAAGAGATCTCACAAGATATGTTTTCTAAGGTGAGTAATGATATGTTTCTATATGGCATGACATTAATACAAATTATTAATATTATCTGGAGATGAATGGGTATTCCACAGTTACATTTCAGTGTATGCTTATGTTGAATAATACTAATTTCATCAGAGTCCTTCAAGTAGTCAAAATCTGTTGTTAAGTCAACATAGAATACCATCAAAGTTTATCACTTTTATTTAATTTTCATTGAGCAGATGCTTCTAATTACCCAATATGTTTCATTCTTTATTAATTAGACAATTTTCAGGGATTCTTTTTACAAAGATTAAAAGAAAACTTCACACAAGTATTATATTATCATGTAGTACAAGTGACTAGATAGGGTTTTGGATCGGATATTGACTGCTTATATACACAACTCTGAATTACAAGCAATTACAGCACCATCGCTAATCTCCACAATTCATAAATCACCACAGCACAAGGTAAGTCCTTTCCAGCCCCCAGTGTCTTCACTATTTATTTCCTGGTAATGGTTTTTAACAATGGCTATTCCTCTGCTTGCAGCCTTAAGTCCTCTCTGAATGGCAGCTGCTTTCCAATATCAGTATTTGTGAATATTTGCTGCAAATTCTTTTATCTTACTCAGTACTGCATTTGGTCTCAGGAAATGTTTCCCTATTGCTGACTGTTGGTGTCCCAGACATCCGACAGGATTTGCCTTAAAACAGATGTAATGAAAATTGAATTTCTTGACAGATGGAAATACTGGGCCAATTTAACTTGGGATTCATTATTACACGTCTCGGATCTGATCTTTTCATTATTGACCAACATGCAACAGACGAGAAATATAATTTTGAGATGCTGCAGCTCAATACTGTACTGCAAAACCAGAGGCTCGTTAAGTAAGTACTTTTTTTTT